ATCCATCTAGGGTTTTTGCAACAGAGGAATTAATTCTTTCATCGCCTTTGTTTTTTTATAAACATTTCTAAACAAAAAAAATTAACTTTCTCAGCAAAACATAAAAGTGCAATGGAAGGACATTGAAAATTACTGAAGTAAGCTTTAGAATGGATTTTTGGAAGGCTAGGTTTTTATTCCAATGGGTCTCTTTTTTTCCCCTTATTTTCTTTTTTTCTTTCATGCTATAGGTGCTGTGGAAGTAGGCTAAAAATACAAAGAAAATGTCCTTATAAGTGATGTTACAGTTTGAAGCACTTTGTTACCTTAGCCCCATATTTGGCTGTTATAAATCCCTTGGAATATCCTTACAAGATGAGAGTTCTAATGAACATAGGCCCTAAAGTGAACCTAACAATCTGGTTGTGTGTCTAGTTGGATTTCAAAGGTAGAGTTTGTGTCTCCCAAATATCCTCCAGATGCCTGTGGTTCTTTGAGTGCTGGTCCCTATGTGTATTCCAATGCGGATGTGAATGTATGCTCCATACTCCTAGAATCGGAGAATTCTTACAAGCAGCATCCATTGGTCCACACGTGCCTCCTTGCCTTTCTTATGCTTCCAACGAAGGTATAAAGGGTGGAACGAACTGACTGCTTCTCCGGTTCCTTCTTACTGCCAGGTGGCCTGGGTTAGAACCTCCAGTGTCCAGAGCTTTCCTTCAATTTCTTCAATCTGTAAATATTTCAAAGTTTGCCTTGGTGCCTTTTGTATATAGTTCTGTATAGTTAGTAAGTTTTTAATAGTTTTATAATTTTTAGCAGAGTTTTCTAGTTAGGTAGATTCCCAGCCTTGGGGAAAACACCTCACCCCCGTACCTCTATAGGTTTTGGACTATGCCCAGAACTCCAGGCTTCAAAAAACTGTGTTTCCTGCTCTTTCTCGATCAGTGACAACCTCCGTAACAGTTTATACTGTCTCAAGGAGGCACATGTTGTGGCTAGGTGTAATATCTGCCACTCTTTCCCTGGCCATACCCATGGGCATGGTTAAGATTTTGTCACGGTTATTTTTAGTAAAAGTCACTGACAGATTGCAGACAATCAACAAAAATTAATGGGAGCTGTTACGTGTTCATGACTTTTACTAAAAATAACAGGGGAGAAAAGGCTGGGGAAGGAGGAATGACAGCTGGAGCCCGATGGTGGGGACTGACAGTCCCAGCCCCACCACCAATGTCGGGGAGCACAACCCTGGCTCCAGCCCCTGCTTCAGCCACAGGACGGGGAGGACACACAGCTCAGGCTTCAGCCCTGGCCAAAGACACAGGGCAGGGGCATGCAGCAGTGGCTTTGTCTGGGGCACACAGCCCCAGCTCCAACTGCAGGGGAATCCATACCCAAAGACCTCCCATCAGGAAGGCTGAGAATGCTCGCACAAGCAGAAGAGCAGGTCTTCCCTTGAAGTCTGCATCTGAAGCAACTCTGCCTAAATCAAGCAAATCTGATCATTCAACCCCAAAAAGTTTAGTATGTCCTAAATCCCATGGCCACAACTCTTAAGTCCATAAATCCAGGGTTCTACCGGTACCAGACCCCATACCAGCGACACCCACTCCACTGGTAACCTACAAGTCAAAAAGTCGAGATCCATTGGTTCTGGCACAATCCGAGCTTTTACTGCCAGTGGTACAATCACTGTCTCATACTCTGGCACATGGAACCCTCTTCCTACTCCTGCCCCATCAGCACAAAAAGATCAGACCCCTTGCACTCCAGGAACGTCAAAGACTAATAGTGCACCAGAGGATGTCTTTGCTCTTCCCAAGTCCTAGTTTCACCCATCATCAGGGAACTTCTTCCACTATGGAGACTGTGACTCCACCAAATGATTACTTTTGATAGAAACCTATCGCCTTTTCTATCTGTTGGTTATGCCTTTCCTCCATCTGAACCGTCACTGTTGCCATTGATCTGGACCCTTTCTTCTCTTACTTGATAGGATCCAAATTGCCAGATGACTCATTGTCTCCTCCTCTACAAAAATGTTAGTTCAGACAGGAGATCCAGAGCCTCCTGGTACCAACCTCTGCCTCTGGACCGCTGATACTCCATGTCACGGGGACCTCCACAACATCATCTTGATGTGCCAGATATACAGAACCTGTGCGTTCTGCCAGGGAACAGCCTCTAAGGAAACAGCCAGAGCCTCCTGACTCCATGCAAGAGGAGGAATGCTAAACAGTTCCACTGGTACCGACAAGATTGTCGTCTTCATCTTCTCATGAAGGAGTCACCATGGCAACTCTGTCCACTCCAGATCATGAACAGCTTCAGGATTTATTGCAAAGGGTGGCAGAGGAACTCCATTTCTCCCTACAGGAGGTCCAGGACCCTTGACACGTACTCCTGGATATCCTAAAAACCACTGGTTTCGATCAAATAGAACTTCCAGTTAATGAAGCTATTCTGGAACCTGCTAAAGCAGTCTGCCATACAGCAGCCACATACACCCTAATACCCAAGAGGGCAGAGAAACCCTGTTTTATTCCAGCTAAGAGAGTAGACTTTCTCTTTACACACCCTGCACTGAACTCTCTGGTCGTCCAGGCTGCCATGGAGTGATCTAGACAACATCTTAATCCACTCCTTCTGACAAGGAGACTAAATGTGTAGACTTCATGGGAAGAAAGGTTTTCACATCTACTAGCCTTCAGTTTCCTATACCGAAATATTAAGCACTGTTGACTAAGTACGACTACCTAAATGATTCCAAATTAATAAATTGTGTGGACTAGCTGTCACAGCAGGACAGAGTTCACTTCCAGGCTCTTATTGAAGAGGGTAAGCTAGTGGCCAGAACTTCACCCCAATCAGTGGTTGATGCATCAGATGTATCATCCTGGTTGATGGCAATGGCCATTGTGATGTGCTGTGAGTCATGATTGCATTCCTCAGGGTTTCCCAGCGATGGATGAGTCCTTACATACTTTAAAGGGCTCCAGGGCCACCCTCCACACCCTGGGAGTATATACATCTGCCACCAAAAGGAAGTATCACAGGCAACCTTACTAACCTAGACCAGCATCTGAACAGTTTTATCTCCATCAATCTATGACTCTCCTTGTAAGAGACAAAGAGTACAGACGTCTCTTTTCCCTGCACCTGCCACGTCTACAGCATCATCTCAATCCTGTTTCCTTGCAAAAAGATGTTTTTGATGGGAGTTTGAGAGCTGAAAACTATTTATTATGACACCACTACCCAACCCCCACATACTCTTACAAAGATCATGTAGCATTCTTTTTCCACAACTGGAGTGCCATACGAACAGACAGGTGGGTATTAGATATCATCCATAACGGCTATGATATCAAGTTTACTTATCTACCTCCTGCAAAACGCCTATCCCTGTCCCTCTTCAGGGACCCATCATGAGGGGATTCTCAGGCAGGAAGTGGAATCCCTCTTCCAGGGAGGAGCAATAGAGTGCATACTTTTCAACACTAAGGGAAAGGTTTTTATTCTGTGTACTTCCAAGTTCCCAAAATGACGGGAGGTTGGAGACCTATCCTCAATCTCTGCAATCTTAACTCTTGTATATGCAAGCTGAGATTTCGTATGGTCACTCTGGTATCAATAATCCTATTAATAATAGAAAAAGACATGCTTTACAGCTCTTTGATATGAAGGACGCTTACTTTCACATGGATATTCACCTGGCCTACAGGCCTTTTATCAAATTCATTGTGGGCCCTGACCACTTTCAACACAGGGTACTCCCATTCGGTCTCACTACAAAGTCTCTTTACAACTACATCCAAAATGCTCCCCCCAAAGTAGTTTCGGAATTTCAAATGAATCAATCGATTCACTTACCTGTGTTTCTTCTGAAATTGCATGCTTCTGAAGAAGAGAGACTTTACGCCTTCAATGTACATCACACTCATGCCTTCTACCTGCAAAGGAGAAAACATGTTTGCGAGACATTATGCTCTATTGCAGAACTCCACTGACTCTTCCTTTAGGACAGTGGTTCTCCAGATGGCTCTGCCATCTGCATCCTCGCACCCACTTGAGTACTGCTTGTCAGTCATCCACAATGGAATGCACATAGGAATGCAGATAGGGGTCAGCACCTGAAGAAAAAAAAGGAGGTTACTTAACTTATTGCAACTGGATGTTACTAACCACCCTCCTTTGGATCTTTACTAGATTGTGATAAAAAAGGAACTAGAAAGTGGGTGAGTCTGCTCCGCCCTTTATGCCATCAATTGGAAGCATGAGGAAGGCAAGGACACATGCATGGACCAACGGACACTATATGTCCAGAATCGGGGAATTCTTGCAAGCAGAGTACAGATAGGGACCACACATCTCAAAGAACCTCCAGTTACTATAAGTTAAGTAACCTCCTCTTCATAGTTTATTAAGGCTTTGTCTACACTGGAAGATGTTTGCCAGTATAACTATCTATATAGTCCTAGTGTAGACTCAATTTATATTGGCAAAAGGGTGCTTTTGCTGGTATAGATTATACCAGTTCTCTGAATGAAAAAAGCTATACTGTCAAAAGCATTTTTTGGTATAACTGCATCTAGACTAGGGCTTTTGCTGATATAGAAATGTCAAAAAAAAAAATCCACACCTCCAGCTGACATTACTATATGGGCAAAAGTTTCTAGTCAAGGCCTGGCCTTAGTCTCCTGTGTTTCATGGCTTTCTGTTAGCCTTTAAAGTTTTTGTTCCACCACTAATCCTGTGTGCAGAGAACATTTATCCATATAAACTACTGTTTTCTTGGAAGAGTCAGGTATTAGTGGTCCATTTAGCACTGTGGAATGTGGTGTCATCTTTATCACCAGAGTACTTTCCAGTTCACAAAACACTTTGGTCTAGATTTCGATACATTGATGCACATTGAGTAGCACCTTACTCTAAGAGTAGTCCCACTTCGATGAGTGCACTCAATGGCAGAGTAAGGTTAGTACTCAAGATGATAAAGGGTTTTTAGAATTTGGCCCTTAATGAAGATCAGTCTCCAGTTTCCTTCAGCCTATTTGGTCATTTCAAAGAACTGTTTTGAACTTGTGAACTCTTGGCACCACTCATTTTCATTTCAAACAGCAGCCATCCTTTCTCCCAGTCAGGGCTATTAGCATTTTAACTATTTTCTCCCCTTGGTAGTTTTTTCTAGTTTCTGGCTGGTTTTCTTTTTCTCAATGATTTAGTTATTTGGATTTTTACATACTACAATAAACGAGTACACATTGAATGCTCTGGGTCCCTTGATAATCTTTAAAAAAATAAATAATAATAACAAAAACAGAACCCTCAGGTACCATGATCAAATCAAATAATCCAGCAACAACATAGACATAACAACAAGTAATCAGCCTCCTTTTGCAATCCCCAGTAGAGTCCCACGCTACCACTGCCCAGCTCTCATCTCCTGGGCAAGGGAGAAAAGTGGGGCCATGCGGTTGACCCCAGACGCTAACAAACTCATGTTGTTATAGACCTGGGGAGGAAATAAGTTCTAAAGGGTTGGAGCCCTAATGGAGAAACCCTGCCAGTTGCTCCCTCTTTCTCATAGGAATGTGGCTTCAGCTCAGGTGCCTTTGCTGACTTCAGCTGTGGCAGTATGGTCTCTCATGGGTAGGTCCCAGGCTATTTAAGGGTATGTCTACACTACGAAATTAGGTCAAATTTATAGAAGTCGATTTTTTAGGAAGTGATTTTATACAGTCGATTGTGTGTGTCCCCACTAAGCACATTAAGTCGGCGGAGTGCGTCCACAGTACTGAGGCTAGCGTCGACTTTCGGAGTGTTGCACTGTGGGTAGCTATCCCACAGTTCCCGCAGTCTTCACCGCCCATTGGAATTCTGGATTGAGCTCCCAATGCCTGATGGGGCAAAAACATTGTTGCGGGTGATTTTGGGTACATGTCATCAGTCGCCCCTCCCTCCATGAAAGCAACAGCAGACAATCGTTTTGCACCTTTTTTCCGTGCGGGCGCCATACTGCTTTCAGCAGACGGTGCAGTAGGACTGCTAACTGTCGTCATCGAACAACTGCTTCCGCTGCAACTCTGCTCTCCTGCTCTGGCCGCAGATGGTGCAATAGGTTGGAAAAACTGGCATTCCAACCACCGCTTCCGCTGCCAATCTGCTCTCTTGCTCTGGCTGCAGACAGTGCAATAGGTCAAAAAAACTGGTCTTCCAACCACTGCTTCTACTGCCACTCTGCTCTCCTGTTGGTCTTGCAGGTCCTCTATATGACTGTCATCATCCACTGCTTCTGCTGCAACTCTGCTCTCCTGCTCTTGTTTTGCCATACCACGGCAAGCGTGCAGCCCGCTCAGCTGTTGTGTCCTGGCAGCAGACAGTGTGCAAAACTGGTCATCCAACCACTGCTTCCTCTGCAACTCTGCTGTCCTGCAGCCAAGGCAAGCATGGAGCCCGCTCAGATCACCGCAGCAGTTATGAGCATTATCCTGCAGTATATGCAAAACCAGAACCTGCAAAAGCAGGCAAGGAGGCGATGGCAGCACAGTGATGAGAGTGATGAGGACATGGACACAGATTTCTCTCAAAGCATGGGCCCTGGCAATTTGGACATCATAGTGGTAATGGGGCAGGTTCATGCTGTGGAACGCCGACTCTGGGCCTGGGAAACAAGCACAGACTGGTGGGACCGCATCGTTTTGCAGGTCTGGGATGATTCCCAGTGGCTGCGAAACTTTCGCATGTGTAAGGGCACTTTCATGGAACTTTGTGACTTGCTTTCCCCTGCCCTGAAGCGCAAGAATACCAAGAAGAGAGCAACCCTCACAGTTGAGAAGTGAGTGGCAATAGTCCTCTGGAACGCCAGACAGCTATTGGTCAGTCGGGAATCAATTTGGAGTGGGCAAATCTACTGTAGGGGCTGCTGTGATCCAAGTAGCCAACCGAATCACTGGGCTGCTGCTATCAAGGGTAGTGATTCTGGGAAATATGTGCAGGTCATAGTGGATGGCTTTGCTGCAATGGGATTCCCTAACTGTGTTGGGGCGATAGACGGAACGCATATCCCTATCTTGGGACCAAACCATCACGGCAGCCAGTACATAAACTGAAAGGGGTACTTTTCAATGGTGCTGCAAGCACTGGTGGATCACAAGGGATGTTTCACCAACATCAACGTGGGATGGCCGGGAAAGGTACATGACCCTCACATCTTCAGGAACTCTGGTCTGTCTGAACAGCTGCAGCAAGGGACTTACTTTCCAGACCAGAAAATAACCATTGGGAATGTTGAAATGCCTATAGTTATCCTTGGGGACCCAGCCTATCCCTTAATGCCATGCATTCAGTAAGGACGTTTTGGAACAAATTGATAAATTAAACAGCAATAAGTCACCAGAACCAGATGGTATTCACTCAGCGTTCGGAAGAAACTCAAATGAGAAACAGAAGTACTACTAACTAACTGTGGTATGTAACCTATCCTTTAAATCAGCTTCCATACCAGATGACTGGAGGATAGATAATATGACACCAATGTTTAAAAAAGGCTCCAGAGATGCTCTTGGCAATTACAGGCCACTAAGGCTAACTTCAGTACCAGGCAAATTGGGTGAAATTATAGTAAAGAGCAGAATTATTAGATACATAGATAAACACGATTTGTTGGGGAAGAGTGAGCACGGTTTTTGTAAAGGGAAATCATGCCTCACAAATCTACTAGAATTCTTTGAGGGGGTCAACAAGCATGTGGATAAAGGTGATCCAGTGGATATAGTGTACTTAGATTTTCAGAAAGCCTTTGACAAGGTCCCTCACCCAAAGGCTCTGAAGCAAAATTGGATAAGATGGAAGGTCCTCTCTGGGATAGGTAACTGGTTAAAAGGCAAGAAAGAAAGGGTCTGACTAAATGGTCAATTTTCAGAATGAAGATAAGTAAATAGTGGTGTCCCCCAGGGGTCTGTACTGGGACCAGTACTGTTCAACATACTCCTATGTGATCTGGAAAAAGGGGTAAAATATGAGATGGCAACATTTGCAGATGATGCAAATCTACTCAAGTTAGGTAAGTCCAAAAGAGACTGCAAAGTGTGACAAAGGTATCTCACCAAACGGAGTGACTGGGCAACAAAATGGCAGATGACATTCAATTTTGATAAATGCAAAGTAATGCACGTTGGAAAATACAATCCCAACTCTACATATAAAATGATGGGGTCTAAATTAGCTGTTACCACTCAAGAAAGAGATCTTGGAGTCATTGGGGATAGTTCTCTGAAAACATCCACTCAATGTGCAGCGGTAGTCAAAAATGCAAACAGAATGTTGGGAATCATTAAGGAAGGAATAGATAATAAGACAGAAAATATCATATTGCCTCTATATAAATCCATGGTACGCCCACATCTTGAATACTGTGTGCAGATGTGGTCTCCCCATCTCAGAAAGATATACTGGAATTGGAAAAGGTTCAGAAAAGGGCAACAAAAATTATTAGGGGTATAGAACAGCTGCCAAATGAGGAGAGATTAAGAAGATTGGGACTTTTCAGCTTAGAAAAGAGTCGACTAAGGGGGGATATGATAGAGGCCTATAAAATCATGATTTGTGTGGAGAAAGTAAATAAGTGTTATTTACTCCTCATCATTCAAGAACTATGGGTCACCAAATGAAATGAATAGGCAGCAGATTTAAAACTAAAAAAAGGAAGTATTTTTTCACACAACGCACAGTCAACCTGTGGAACTCCTTGTCAGAGGATGTTGTGAAGACCAAGAATATAACAGGGTTCAACAAAGAACTAGGTAAATTCATAGAGGATAGGTCCATCAATGACTATTAGCCAGGATGGGTAAGGATGCTGTCCCTAGCCTCTGTTTGCCAGAAGCTGGGAATGGGCTACAGGGGATGAACCACTTGATCACTACCTGTTCTGTTCATTTCCTCTGCGGCACCCGGCATTGGCCACTGTTGGAAGACAGGATACGGGGCTAGATGGACCTTGGGTCTGACCCAGTATGGCTGTTCTTATGTTTGGAAAGCTGACAACACTCAGGTCATGAATATCCTTGTGTGATGTAGGTCCGAGTGGGGTATAATGAGTTCTGTACATGTATTGGAAATACTCCCCCTAAAATATGTTGAGGGATCAGACTTGATAAACCAGTTTGGCTTAGAGATGGAGAAGAAGTTCCTGTTTAGCTATGGCTCTATGAACATGAAACAAATAGCCAAGAGGGGAGGGGAGAAGAGAGTGTATCAGTGTATCAAGTGCTGGGATAGGACCCAGTCAAGTTCCCAGCTCTCTCCCAGGTTTGTGGGTGAGACCTAGGACAGGTCTCTGTTGGACAAAGGACAACGCCCTGCTCCTTACAATCCTCTGTGTCCAGGGGAGAGAAGGGATGAATCCCTCCTTGAGAATCTCAGCAGCTTCCTAGGAAGGAGCCAGTGCTCTTCTCCGAGGGCCTTCTCCTGGACCTCATAGGGGTCGGATGCTCTCACTCCGCAAGCCTGCCTGGGGCCTTGGAGTTAGTGCTCAACAGAACCAGGCAGAGCCCTGTTGTTGAGCACCAGCGCGTTCCCTCCGTCCCTGAAGGAGGAAGGACCCCAACACTGCTCAGCACTGACTGCCCTGACCACAGGTGGCCCAATGGCTCTCAGGTAGCAGGACGTAATGGAAATGTGGATCGTCCAGTCTCTCATTTCCAGGCCTCCCCAGAGCTAAGGTAAAATTCCTACTGCCCCTGCCCATTATGCTCACTTCCAAGTTGTGCTGGAGTTTGTGCTGGGGGTTGCTGTCAGCAAGCTCTTCAGCATGGCATCCATGTCTTTGGGCAGGCCTTCTTCAGACCCTGTCAGCGGAGGGAGACCATGGGTCAGGGTTATGGAACCGGGGGCTACACCTGGCAGGATGACAGCTGGCTCTGCAGTCCTTACCCAGAGCAGTTCTCTGCAGAAGGCCTGGTGCATAGCAGGGTAGGGAACAGGCAAGCTGCTAGGGATGGGAGCTGGGCTTCCTGGCAGAGTCCAGGAACCATGCACAACATCTGCAAGGAAGGGATTCTCCACAGAGGGACAACATAATCTCCCACAGAGGGGGAGTCTCCCCCTGACACTTGATTAATCCTATGGCCTGTTCCCATCTCTGCCCACCGCATGCCCAACTCAGCAGCTCCAGCTACCGAAGAGAGCAAGAACCAGAGGCCTTCCTGCTCCTGGGACAGAGGAGTAGGTTGATGATCTACCTGGATGTGAGTGTTGGCCTTCCCCATGCCCATGGTCTATACTCCATTCAGGGTAGCGCACAGGAACTGCAATTCCTGTTCTCGATCTAGGGTGGCTTCAGTTTGCTGGCAGGAAACTGTACATGAGACCTTGCGACACAAGCACTAACATGGGCATGGATGTTTGAGGAATAGGGCAGAGGCCTGTGTGGGGCAAAGACAGCAGGGATTTGGGAAGCAAGAGCACAGGATCAAACGCTTTCTTAATGTGGATCAGGATGATCCCCCTTTCAAGGATAGAGAAAGTGAGGCACCAGGTGGGAGAGTGACCTGGCCAAGATCATATTACCAGTCAGTGGCAGGGCTGCAGTACAACCCATTCCCTGCTCTCATCACTGGAACCTGCTGCCCCTCCTGTATAACCCCTCCAGCCATCCTCTCCCATAGGCCATCCCCACCACTCTCCAAGACCAGGCTGTTTCCATTATGGAAGCAGGCTTGTAACAGAGTTCATTCACCGATAGGATCCTTTCTTGGAAAGGTGTCACAGCTTTCTTGCTGGGCTAGCACCCCCACCGATAGTTGCTAGGGCACTCTGGCAGTTTTTTGGCTGGGAACTCAGCCCTTCAGCCAGGTGACCATCTTTTAGTCCACTCCTTCCTGGATTGCGCTCATCCCAAACTAAAAGTCAAAAAATGTCTTTAACAGAAACAAGGTCTTCCATCCCTTTGGGAGCTCTTCCTCAGCCTGACTTTGGCTCGGCCTGCTCTTGTTGGCCTTAATAGCCCTTTCTATGGCCTTGTACATCCCCTTCCTTAGAGACCATGGGAGAACCAGTCCTACTCTGGAGTCTAGGTTCTGCCCCAAGGCCCTGTACCGAACAGCTAGGCCTGCTCCTGTACCTTTGCTGCAGTTTTCCCTGGTTTTCCCTTCAGGTGGAGCTCACTCTGTAATCCATTTGGCCTAGCTCCAGGCTTTATAGCCCACCCACAGGCCAAGCCCCCCTGTTATTTACCCTCCTCCTTAGAACCTGGCCCCCAAGTTCTATTCTTGTCCAAACTTCATCCCTCGTCATCTCATCACTGTCACCGGCTACGCGCTTGTACAGCCTGTGCGCGCAGTGTCTCCAGCTCCACTGCCAGCTCGCTCACCAGAATTAAGAGGCAATCCTTCTCTTCTGCAGTATCCCAACGCTCTTCCTGCAGCCACTCATTCTCATTAACAACTGCTTGCAGAGTCTGTTCTGAAGCCTTTAGCTTCTTCTGTAGCCTTTTTGCTACTGCCGCTGCATATGCCAAAACCTTTTCTGTCAGGGTCTGAGAACCCACCATGGACTGCTCCACCCTTGTGTTTGTCCCTACTTCAGTCTGCTTCATCTCTGGGCCAACCATTTTGTCCTTCACCTCCCTGCAGCACCCAACAGGGTGTGTTGGTGGAGGGTCTGCAAGGTCCACGGCCATCCCTGCCACTTCCACGTTGCCTGCCTCATGTGGGTTTGTGTCAGAGAACACCTTCTCTTTTCTTTCTACCTTCTCAGTGCTCTGGCCCCTCCTTTTTCCACTCAGCAATTTCCTAAGCAGGCCGTCACCTGTGTCTTTTGAGATGGCCTGCTTCTCTGCACCCAAAACAAAGAACTCTTGTCCCCAACTTGGCATTAGGCCACACTTGTACACTTTCTCATGCCCTGCTCTCCTGGGCTAACCTTCTCAGCACAGCCAGGCATGCTCTCCTTGTCTCCTCTTTCTGTCCACGGGCACAGCAGACCGTGGGTTGATTTTCCTTTGCAGGATCTCTCACAGGTATTGCTGCTGCTCCTGCGTCTGCAGCTCTGCCTGCACTTCCTTCTGCTTCTGTTGTTTTTCTAGGAGCTGCTGGAGAAACCCCTAGATCTGCTTTGGCTGCTTAACCAGTCCCTGGAACTGAAGTGGGAAATCCAATGCCCAGAAATTGCTGAGTTCACCCGCTTGGGAGAACAGACCTTCCTTCAGCAACCAAGACTTCCATCAGCCCTCATGGATCACAGGGGGAATTCAATCGTCTGGACTACGCCAATCATAAACAAATCTACTCATCATTATATGCCCCCCCCCCAGCGGCCAGGCATGGCATCACAGCTCTCTCACTGGGCTAGTGTCCCCCATCAATGGTCGCTTCAGCACCATGGCAGTTTCTCTGCCTGGTAACTCAGGCATTTGACCAGGTCACCACCATTAGTCCACCCTTCTGGGGCCCAGCTTGTCTCACACTAAAAGTCCAAAGAGGTCTCTTCACAAAAAGAAGTCCTTCTGCCATTGCTGGGGCTCTTGTTCAGCCTGAAGCCCCCTTGCTGGGCATGATAACCCTCTCTGGGTGCGTGTATGCCCCCTTATTTGGGGCCAGTAGGGGAACCCAGTCCCATCCTGACATTGGTAGCAGCCCAGGGCCCTGTACCCAACAGCTAGGTCTGCTGCTTTCTCTTTGCTGCAGTTTTCCCTGGGCACTTCCTACCTCTCTTCTCAAATTCCCCTCTAGGAGTTCCTTGCTGCTCTGAACTTCCTACCTCATTCTCATTCCTGTTGATACTCCAGCTGGACTGTATCACCACTGAAGTCTGCCTCTTTAGGGGGAGGTATATGGTGCCTCTCAGTTAGGGCTCATTCTGTAATCAGCTTGGCTAAGCCCCAGGCTGTGCAGCCCAGGAGAAAGCACCCTGTTACAGGCCTGCTCTGCCTACTCCTACTGTTACTGGGCTGGGGTCCTTGCTCCCCA